TTATTTTTCTTCACGACAACGCACGACCACACACTGCAAATGTGACGAAAAACCTCCTACAGGGATTTGGCTGGGACGTGTTTGACCATCCTCCGTACAGCCGTGACCTCGCTCCTAGCGACTTACATCTGTTCTTACATCTTAAGTCTTTCCTTGGCGGTCAACACTTCAACAATGACGACGAGCTGAAAGAAACTGTTTCCAACTGGTTGAAGACACTGGCGGCAAATTTCTATGAAGAAGGTATACAAAAACTTGTGCTACGCTATGACAAATGCCTGCAATATTTCGGCAGTTATGTGGAAAAGTAGTTTAAGAGTTGTTGAATTTTGTGCAATAAATAACTTTCTGTAGCTGTACACAATTTACTTTTATTACCAAACGGAACTTACTTTCTGGACATACATTGTATATATATATTGTTATTGTACCATGCACATACACTTCTTTATATTCTTCTCGGTCTCATAACTTCTGTCTTGTGTTAAGCATCTTTATCATAATGCTACTTTATGCATATTTTCATTTTATTAATACTTTTTATTTAGTTCAAGTAATTTGATCGGCGCCCTGATCGGTATAGTGGTTGGAGATCCTGGTTGCTGTATCGCTTGTTGGATTTGGATTCGAATTCCCGGAAACGGCGTGGGTGTTTGTAAATGTATATAACGCCTTGTATTTTGAGTGCTTTCATTTTGTGCTACACAGAGTCGCTCAAAATGCAAACCGAACCGAATGTCCTTTCGAGTGGTTTGGTGTTAGGAGATCCTCAGATCCGTCCTCCGAGGCACTGTCTGTCAAAATCGAGACAGACCTGGGAAAAGTCGCACTGTGACCTACCTATATGACACTATAAGCCGATACCAACGACAGATGGAAACTTGCGCTTCTTGCCGCAATAAAATTTGTGCCCTTTTTCTGATTAGGTCAGATAAGTGAGATGAACTACAACAACCTTTTGATCATCGTGTCTTCCTGCAAGAATATATGCACTATAATTTAAACAGTTGCAATATTATTTTGTTCGTTTTATGTATTTGTGTTTCCTTGACTGTTCAAAATGGAGCGTATATATAAGTCTTCTCTCAAGCATCACATGTTCTCATTATCAGCTTGTTTTCATGATGTGTGTTGTCAAAACTATTGCATTCCTGCTGAGGTCCCAACTCATTACAACTATCAACTTTCCGATAAGTCTGCATTAAACTTCGTGTGGCTAACATCCCGTAGGGATGCCGCTAAGGTGCAGTGCTGAAATACTGATGCACAGGTAGTATTGCCAGTACCACAATAGAAAATACCACAACTGAAATTTTTCTGTATGATATTTAAGCCTAGGGATACGAGAACTTCCAGGACACTCTGTACAGAAATTTTGAAGGATTTGATTATAACTGCAATAAATGCGTTATTATTCTAGCAATGCGGGATTAAGTATTCGCATTAAAATATTAAAACGAGTTTCTAGTATTGCTTTGTTTTTAACTGAGAAGAATTGATTTTGTCTTGCCATGGCAGATACAGCAGGAGCAATTTTAAAGTAGTTGCCCTGAGAAAGGAAACGTTATTACACTAAATATTACCATTTCGGTATAAAGATAACATATTATGCAATGCTGCCATACTTCGTAATACTACTTCTCACTGGACTATCGACACTGGAGCAATGTTTCCCAATTATGTCTGCATTACGTTGTCAGTAGGCTAAGAATATGACGCCAGCCACATGAAACCATGGATCCAGCATGATAGATTAGAACTGTGGAAGGTCATGGCGGCTCAGTGACAGTCGGCTTTGTTTCGCCTTGGCAGTGATTGTGACTTTGCAACCACTGCCACCTTCACTGCATAGAGCTGTTGTGATTTCTTCATGCTTTTCAGCTGTTCGGATGGAAATAATGTGTATTGTGTCTTCGGATAATTACTACTAAAGCCGGGTAATTACTACTTGGTTCGAGAAACATTCCACTGAATTGGCTACCAAGGAGCCCGGATTTAATTCTTTCACATTGAAGTCGCCCGAAACGTTTGTGCATTCAAACACCGGCAGATCACCCGAACGGCTGTTTCTCTTTTCTGCCTGGTGCTTTGCTTCATCACGTTAGTGCATAGCTCATTGGTTTCGGGAGTTGTTAAATAATATTACAATCATTCTTCTGAAAAGGCTAAAAGTAGCTCTCTTATTTGAATGTATCTTCCCTCTCCTTTGTTTGCCGTTAACCTTTAGCTATTGATGCACGCAGAAGCAAATCCTGTCCTAAAGAAAAACTGCACACGGTGTGGGAAACCTCACAGAGATCCCTAAGAGAGAAGTAATCGCTTCACATAGGCAGGTTATTGTTAATGCTGTAGCATTCTACTTGGAATGGGTAAGGAAATTCATTCCAACAAAATTCGTATGTACGGGCATTTCAGATGATTGAGAGGAACAGATTTTTCTCCTGTACCGAAGCGAAAGAGTTAAATCACAGTGAGCACCTTCGGTACTCCGAAAAAACGAGTGTAATAACGAGTGCCTTCAACTGATCTGATTTATAGGAAATTTTAGAAGACGTTTAGCAGGAAATACCTCTGAGGCACTTCCACAGATTTGTCAAATGAATGCTTTGCCGTGTAGCAATCATTATTTTGGCTTAAGCAGCAGCAAATCATTACTAATTAGATAAATTTAGTGGCATTTAAGTGTATAATGGAGAATATTTATCGTAAGCAGGAAAACATTATCTACATATCAAAAGAAAAAATATTTTAAAGTACAAATTTTAATCAGTAAATAAGGATTACATAATATATTTAAAAAAATAAACGCTCACATTTTTCGCAAAATCCATTAAATTTTTTAGTGCTATTCTTCTCTCTATGTGCACAGTGATCAGCTTTCGCTAAAAAAATATCATAGAATTGCACAAACTCGGCATTGCGCACCGACTGTCTCCCAGACTCATCTCATCATTGTTCACTTTAGCAATTTTGCGGCAGAATATTGCATTCCTGTAGAACTTTTAGCGCAGTTTTTTTAAATTGCTAGAGGAAATCTTCAAGCGTATATATTAAATTGAGTTGAAGCAAAAAATATCAGATTTGTCTATTAAAAAATTGACGGTAGGCCTTTTTAATTGAAATTGTCGCTGATGTTGAATGCGTACTAACTGGAGGGTGAATATGTTATAGAACAAATAAAACAAACAAAAGGTTTTACACACATATATTTTATTACATTTATTCATTCAAAATGATCCTGTGTAAAATCGGTGGATGATATGAGAAAAAAGATTCATAATTTAAGATGCCTGCATTTATATTCCCAATAAATGTTCTCGTAGTATCTGCAAATAAATTGTCAAGTGTACTTGGGTAGTTACGGCACCATATTAGGATTGAAATTATGTTTCATAAAATCACAAAATATCTTATCATTTCGTTGGATGTCTACATTGAAATCTCTCACATAATAATAAGAGTAGGAACATCTGTATTTACAGTAAACGCTCGATCAATAAAGTAGTCTCAGAATATTTCATCAATGCACTAACCAAGAGCATCTTCAGATCTCCTGAATTAACAGCTGGATGAATATATACGAATGCTAGAGTAAATATTGACTGTTCATTAACAATTACACCAACCAGAGAACTATCGCCTGCTTCTGAATCATGTATTCTCTTACGCTGCTTAACAGCGTTGTACACGATTTACTACACTCGTTAGATTTCTACTTCTGTTAGTACACAATCTACTACACTCGTTAGATTTCTACTTCTGTTAGTACACAATCTACTACACTCGTTAGATTTCTACTTCTGTTAGTACACAATCTACTACACTCGTTAGATTTCTACTTCTGTTAGTACACAATATACTACACTCGTTAGATTTCTACTTCTGTTAGTACACAATATACTACACTCGTCAAATTTCTATAAATTACAACACCCTACCTTGTGGAATAAAATAAAATACAGCAAACACTACCCGAACAAGCTATCTACACGCGGCTATCTACCAGACGACCTTGCCACTCACACACGGTCGCAAATGCGCATGGTTCTTTGACGTCACCAAAATTTAGTTATTTTAAGCCGTTAGTTTGAGCACACCTTTTGTCGAATTTAAAAAAAAAAATGTATGTTTGTTAATGTGCTCTTTCACCTAGCTAATGTGTTGAAATTGATTGCAACGTTTGTAGTTTTGGAGATATAAGCAATCGCTCGCACCTCAAATAGCGTCTTAACTTTTGCTTTCCCACCAGACTGCTACGGAAGAACGTAATCCTACGTTAAAACCGTTGGAATTTAACGAAGAAAATGCATACAAAAATGGTGACGCTGCTTGCCCAAAGAAGTATTTGAACACAAGTTGCTTAAATTATGTGTTTGCGTATAGTTGCCAGCCAGAGTTGGGCAAATTCTGAAAATCTTATGATTTCATTTAAGGTGGTGGCAATAATACTCCTACCTAAGTATCGGCTTTTGGTAGCGTTTCGAGTATTCTTTTAACAGCTCTAATATTAAGAATAGCAATAAAATTAGCAAAATATGGGCCCCATATTCTATGCGCCCTCCGGGTAATGCCGACAGCAGTCGTAAGTTCGGTGGCGTAGTCTTATCATATATATATATACATATTATTCTGGATGACATTAATATCTAGATAAAAGCAGTATAACATTAAATTGAACTTATTTTAACTTTTATCTGATAGCAAATCAGCCAGACGCTATTATTATTGTATACAGCATTCACATTCTTTCAATTCTACCTCAGCACATGTATACTGTTGATTTTTCAGTGTCTTGCATAATCATTGATTTGTCCAATACATTCACATCTGTAATTTCTTTAAGTACACTATGAATGTTCTTTAATGCTAAATCTCATAAAAGTTATTCTGTTCCCTAGTTCAGCTTAAAACGAACTTCATTCTTGCATTTATATTCGGAATTTTTCCTTTTTTTATTTTATTAATGAGTTTCTCTTTTTTTTTTTTTTTTTTTATTTAAGGAAACTTTTTCGTCTTCCATCAGACAAGCAAATGAAAGACAAAAGGCGTGAGAGCGATTTAACAGAAGAAAATTTCCTGGTAAGAATTTTCTTTTTAATGATCACTGGAACGCTTGTAATAATTTAAAAACATTCCCGTGTTATTGTTAATGTTAATGTCTTATCCTGTCTTCACTGTTGCGCAAGTGTTACATTTTTTAATCAAGTAACAGGTTGTTAATTTTTTTTAACAACAGGTAGCTATAAGCTTAATTTCCTTAAATATTGATTTTAGATATTTACTTCCATTTACATAGTTTCTCGAAATTTGGTTGATAATTGCTTGAAAAGAATTTCAACACCCCTGTGGCGGGCTTTGTAATTGTTAAACTTTGGTTTTTATACCCTGAAGAACCACTGAATCAGGGATACCTGATTAGTAAAGAGTTGTTGTTTCTTTGGCTTTGATAACAATTATCCACATGGCGAAACGTGGATTTAGCAAGTCTACGGAACGATGCCAGAAGTATTTCCTGCCAAACATTGCCTAGAATTTTCCTTAAATCTGTTAAAGATGCTAGCAGTGGATGAAATATTTTCCCAGAATAAATTGTTCCTCCCATGTTGAACATTGTGCAGGAACTGTAAAACTCATGAACAGTTTCTAATTTATATAGATAGAATAATTTTATAAAATTTTTAAAACATTCATTTTAGTAAGTTGTAAAATTTCTTTACAAATAACTTTATGGAAAGAATGCATCTATTCACTTGCTTGTAGAAAATGTTGATTTTTGTTTTCGAATCAATTTAATTTACAACAGTTTCCTAATTTCTGCACCAAATACTCAAAACTGTGCTTGATGTTTCATTCTATGACACGTATGAAATATGAAAAAATATGGAGAATTGTAGCATCAGGAAAAAATTCTGTTCTGCTCTGGTAGTGGTAAAAGATTTTCAAGAAATAAACATTTTTCAACTCAAATGAAGCTAAAACTAAGTAAACTCATAAAATGAAATAAACTACATCTTTCCATCGTTAGATTTTCTGTTATTATTAACCTAGGTTTACACATAGTCTGCGAGTTATGAATAATCATGAGATATTTAAACATTAAATCTTAAATTATTTTACTTACTAAATTAAAGTTACATGCATTCCAAACACTTCTTATGTGTTTTTTTTTAATTGATAGTTTAATAGCTCTATTGCAGTCTTGTCTATGAAAAGAGTGACTTCTACGCTTTAGATCTATATTTGAAAGAAAAATACTCCGAGAATTTCTGCTTTTAAACTGTGTTTACATTAATGCTTATGAGAACTACCCCACTCTAAATTTCTACACTTTTTCCTCCATTCATGATTAAACAAAGAATTCATTTTGCTGAACTACTGTCTGTGTAAATGTTGTGTTACTGCACCATTAATGTGGTGTTGTTGGCGTGACCGCCAAAAGTGACGATACTATGAATATCAAATACAAATTAATTCCGCGTAAATACGTTAAACTAAAATTTAGTGGTTAGTACATTGCATGATCTTTACTAAATAGAATAACATGACTTACCCAATAATGCATGCATGAGCCGAATCTCTCTTTTTCCAATCTCACATTTATTTTATCAAACACATTTTCTGGACTAAATAAGGCACATTTATCACACACATATAAAACATTAAAATATCATAACTTAGATACACACAATGCGATAACTAAAAATGGAATGTTCGATGGATATCGAAACGTGACGACTCGTAGATAAACTGCAATCCTGTTTCATCAAAATTATATGCAGTCTAATTTTTCTCCTATACATTTTCGTATTATCGCGCAGTCTTCTTTAACATGTGCAAGCTCTTCTTTTTTTACATTCACATTTTTTTAACACACTTATCATCACGTGGTGACCCATCGCTGGTCAAGCACATCTTGAAGCCGAACACCTATTGATATTCTGCTTAAGCGTTTATTTTATGTTATTCTCGGCAGCAGGACTTAGTGAGTCTCAAACCAAGCACTTTACTTCAGATATTGGATTTCTTCATTCAGCTTCTTTCTATGCAAAAATACGATGACATTCCACGTGCAAAATATGCATAAACGATGGCGACTGGGGTGTTGCCGAGGTACGAGTGGTGGCCGGCCAAATCGTACACACGTCGGCAGAGGGGAAAAAAAGAGAAGACACATCTTCAGTTTAACCTTGGCCGGCCGACGACGAACAAGAATCGAGCGCCCAGTTCCTGGAATCTGGTTCTCACGTATAGCAGTTACTTATTATGATTAGCTTTGTCCTTACTGTTCAGTAATCTTAAAAATTATTTACAGTACATGTGAATATGAAGTTCATAATAGTTGAAGATAACAGATGCATATCAGTATTTCTATGATAGGGAGAGGTTCTAAAAATCACAGATTCATAAGTGAAAGCTTTTATATTCTGTGTATAAAATCTCAGGAAATTGTACAGATAGCCTTAAACGATTTTTATTTTTAGTCTTTTCTTCTTATTTTATTTTTAATGTATCCCCCCATATTTAATGTGAGTGTAGTATTCTGTTTATTTTGCAAAAAGAAAATAAAGTCTATGGTTTTAGCAGACGTTTTTTAAACAACTGTTATTTTTCTGTGTATAGTCCTGATATGCGGTTCTGCTCTAACTTATTATGTGAATAAATGTTCTAGTATGAATATTGCAGCCTACAACCGCTCAAGACACTGCAACAGTTATATTTTTAATAACTTTAGTATTTATGCGTTTTAATAGTAATCATCTGGCAGATGAATATTTTTGAATTAAATGGCTTCGTGCAAGTATCAAATTTCCTAACATTGCCAAGGGAAAACAACGCAGCCGCATTAATGGATCCAGTTTGTCACGCTGGATCCATTGTTTAATGAAGCTATCGCCATATTCTTAGCCTACCATCAGCGTTGGTACAGTCGAAATTGAGACTCAGTGTTACATACTGCTAGCTTCCAACCATCAGGGGTCCAGTAACGGTGTTCTGTGGCCCTTGCGAGACTCCGAAGGCGGTAGACTGCGATTAGAAGTTGTACTCTCGTTTGTGTTTTGCTTCTGAAACCCATACGGTAAAACAAAAGCTACAGATTCTTCCATCTTTTGATTGTCCGATTGGACCCTTCATTCAGTTGTGTGGTCACTTGAGATAAGATGTGATGTCGCTTGGCTACTGTCCATAGGATTGTGTCTCTGGAAATCATTCAAATCTCCTTTTTTTCTTGCCAGTTTGTTCTCTTTCCGTTGCCTTCGCACTGAACGAGGAAACCTCTACTCTCAAAGTATTTCTGAAACTGAATGACACAAGTATCGAGCGCTTGTTATTTTAGAGAATTGGATCGAAGGTATCTAAATTATGATTTTTACACATGATATTTATTTTTAACAATTTTTTAGAAAGGGATGCGCTTTCGATTATGTATATGCTATGGTATTTTCAGCTATGTATTCCTACACTCAGAAATGAGGCAGAAGTGCCAAGATATTTTGCCTAATGCTATCTGTTCTATCAAATATAAATAGTATAGCGAATATAGAAAAAAATGTATGGCAACATTTTTTCTTCGCCATAAGATGTTTTCCAGCAAGTTAATATTCAGTGACACTTCAGTACATGATTAGGGAATTGAAAGTCAGATTAGGTTAAACGTTCATAATGTTTTAGTAGAATAATAGAAAAATTACCTTTATCTTTAAATTCAATTATATGTTCGAGAACAAATTTTTCCAGTAGATTACTTTTCAATGCTTACTGGTAAGCGATTATGAATCTCACGTTGGGAGTATGTACAAAACAAGCGTTTTCTATTTTGGTGATTCTTCGCTTTGTACTGAATTAAAATTGACCCCCATGAGCTTGTTGTTTGCTAATATCGCCACCAGTTTTTCATATTTAGCATATTAAAGCATCATAAACATATTACTGGATGGAAGTTTTGGTCTACGAGGTTCATGTAACAGGAATTTATACAAACCTCCTAGCTCTAGCTGTCGCGTTTACATTATTCTTATAAAATTTTCTAGCTTAAGAAATTTTATAATTGAAAGTACATTTCTAAAATTAATATTTATGAAAATAAATCTTGTTGCCATCTCTTTCGATTACTGTTGTATATTCTTTTAGTCGTGTATTTTCTTCGTTTTATTTTTCTTAAAATAATACTTTAATGAATTTTACTGTTAATCAGTAAAATTGATGGATCATATTTGCAAAGGAAATTATTAAATGAAATATTTAATTAAAATAAGCTATTTATTGACATTTATTGAAAACGCCGCGCAGACGAGCCGAAAGTCCTCTTGAGAGGTTGATGGTAGGGAAAGAGGGGTGGGAGACCTTCGGATCCCTCCTGCTCAACGACTTCATATAACAGGTAGACGGCTCACCCACAGAGAATTCGTCTGCTAGGATGTCTCCAACATATACCACGTGACTTAAGCTCTTGGCGCTCTTGGGGAGTGATAGCTTAGGCTGTTTATCGCCAGTTTGGCGTGCTTCTGATATGGCTAGTAGTGCTTGTTATTTCCGTTTGCTGGCAGTCGGCAGACAACGGCCTCGAATTAGGTTATTCGATTTTTTACAATTATTTGGATATAACTTAACCCCTTTTTTCCTGAATATTTTATCTATATTTTTAATAATCGCTTTAAATTATTTGCGCCATTATTTAAAATGTTTAAGTTAAATAATTTTAGGAAGAAAATCTAAAATAAATAATAAAAAATTGAGAGGAAACTTTAATTTTGAATAATGTTTAAAAATTAATTGCACTACTGTTATAATATTTGAGAAGGTAAAAAAATCTCGTTTATTTTTAATGCATTGCATCCTAAAGAGAAAAGAAAATCACATTGTATGTATTTATGCTATTCATGAAATATATACTTACAGACTGTTAACTTTCAGCTGGAACTATAAACTATTACTATTCAAAGTTATAATATAGTTTATGATACAAAAAGATAAATTATACTGAAATCTTATTATAGAAAAATATTTTACTTTCTTATATTTAAGTAAACATAATTTTACTTAATTTAAAGTCAGAAATAGTTTTCGGAACAATTTCATTT